TGGCACAGAGACCGGTTGTGACTCCCCAGGAACTGGCCCTCGGGTTGTTTGGTGCATCTTTCTTTTTCTCTTGCAAAGGTGGCTGGGAGGTGGGTTTGCCTTTTGAGACCCACACGTACTCTTGTGGGGGCTGAGGGTGCTGTGGACTCCAGAGCCCTCACACCCCCCTCCTGAGCGGAGGTGGAGCCAGGCTGGAGGAGGTTTTCATCTCTTCTCAAAGGTCTTTGGCTGGTGGAACAGGCGCTGGCTGGAGGGCTCTGTCAGCCCCTGGGTGGTCATGATTCTGGAAACAAGATTTGGCCATCCTCGAGGAGCTGCTCTGACAGAACCTGGTCTCCAGCACTGTGCCCTCCCTGGAGGTGCTCTGCTGTGGAGCTGGGGGTGGCTTGCTGCACCCACACCATGCCCAGCTCAGAGGTGATCCGTTCCCTTGCTGGATCCAGCCCCAGAGCCATCCAGGCCATGTTCCAGTTTCCAGTTCCCTTGGTACGTGGTGGGGACCCTGGACCTTTGTGCACTATTAATAATGTGCTGTGCTGATGTGCCAGTGCCTCTGAACCACTCCTGTGACATCCCCGGGGACTTCAGCTGCAACTTCTGGGGCTCTGCCCCTGTTCTCCTCCCCATCTAAGTGGCACCACTCCATCCTGTTAAGCCAAAACAAAGCATAAAAATCCCTGCAGCCCAGATCTCCCAACTGTTGCATTAGCAGGAAATCCTTATCTTCTCTGAGTCCTGCTAAACCCCTTCTGGAAACCTCTGCAGGGGTGAAACCTAGAACTGGCATCTCCATGGCATAGAACTACTCTGGGAACTCAGGGTTCCCAAAAGCTGCCTGGAAGGAAGCAGTGCAGGGCCTCAAGTGCTTTCTCGAGATGCTTTAGAGTCACAAGGCTTTTTTTCTAAGGAGATTAGCACCTGGGATGGAATGTTGATTCCTGATACCTGGAAAATTAAATTGCCCAGCCCAGATTGGTCAAAATTTTTGCTCTCTGTTGAATTTTGCCTCCTATGAATGGACTTTGGACTTCCTGGTGGCTCCATACAACACAACTAACTCCCTCCTCCCCTGGGTGTGACTGTCCCTCAGCACTTCAGGCTGTACAGGCAACGGGCTGGCACAGTACTGGGAGGACTTTGTGTGCCCAGCTCCTTCCTGCTGCTGCCCCAGCGTGGCTTCTGCTCTTGGGTCCTTTGTGAACGCAGGTGGGGAACAGTGCTAGAGAGCAGGAGCAGGGCTTGGTGGGCGTCCCATCCACAGAGCCCTCTCCAGCCCCACGTGCCATGGCCCCACGTTGTACACCAGCCCTCCGTGCCTCGATCTGCCAGGAGCTGGTGCCTCTGGTGCAGGTGGCCTCCATTAAGTCGTTGCTGAGATTAGGGCTGTTTTCAGTAGGTTCCTTTGAGTGGAGGTTTATTTGTGTAAATATTTGGACGTTTCTCAGGCGTGATTATTGAGCAACCTGCACCTCATGCATATTCAGAGGCCTCCAGCGATTGCCTCTTCTCCTGCCTGTGGGAGCAGGGCTGGGTCCACCACGTGAGAGGGCCCCGAGTGTGGCTGGTGCCGCTGGGGGTGGGCAGTGCTGGGGAGAGCCCCTGTGGCTGAGCCGTGGAGCTGGGAGCAGTGGGGATGGGGCTGTGCTGCAGTGCCAGGGCTGCTGTGGTGGCACAGTCCATGCAACCCCAGCAGTGCCTGCTGAGCACCCCTCCCCTGGCTGCCCAGCCTGCCCTGAGCTCCCTGGCAGCACTGGCAGCGCCTGCCCGGGCGGTGCCCGGCTCCAAGCACTGGGAGGAGGCAGGATGGCAAAGCACACAGCTTGGGCAGCCTCAGGGCTCCTGGCTGCTCTCAGGGAAGTTTAAGAGCCGTTTAAAGCAGGTGTATAGGTTCCAGAGTAGCTTGCTGCCAGTTTTGCTTTGCATCCTGCATCCCTTGTCATCTGGGATCCTCCTACCCCCCGCGCTCAGCTCACCTCTCACAGCTTCTCCCCTCCCGTTCAGCCCCCACAGACCTGCCGTGTGTTTTCCTCCTCTACAACTCCCCCGCTCCATCCCTGACGTTTCCCTGCTTTTCCCAGGTTAACCAGGCTCTTTCAAGCAGTTCAGCCTCATCCCAAGCTTGGTCTCCAGCATCTCATTGCACCACTGAACCCAGCCGTGCTGCTGGAGCGAGGTGTGGGGCCGGCCTCTCCGGAGCCCCCGGGGCAGGTGGAAGCTCCTGCGAGCTCCCGGGTCTGTGCTTTCCCCCCAGAGCCTGGCAGCCCAGGGCACAGCAGCCCCCCAGCTGCACGCTGGAGGTGGGCAGGGCATCTCCTGCACTTCAGGGTCCTGCTGTTTGGGGACAGCACCCAGCTGGTGGCCTGGTTTGTATGGTTTTGCTGGCCCGAGGAGGGCGCGAGGCAGCGCGGCACAGTGGCGCTTGCGGGGCCAGAGCTGCACCGTGTTCTACCCACAGGAGCAAAGTGCTGTTGACCTCAGCCTGCCCACAGGAGCGTGGTACTGCCCTGTACATCTTCAGGGGTGCCCACTCCAACCCCACGCTGTCCTTGTCTTCTGCATTGCTGATGAGGAGCTGAAGCACACAAAGCCCGTGTCGGGAATGCGACACGAGCTCCAGGCATGGTTCAGGTTTCTGAACCTCTCTCTTTTTCTACCTCTCTCTTTGGCAATTCTTCTGCTGACGTAAACACAAAAAGCCAAGACAGAACTTCTCCTTCCTGGGGTGTTGGTAAAAACTCAAAGGAATGGTGTTAAACCAGCCCCTGGCCCCAGGAGCTGGATGGAAAACTCTGCTCGTCTCCACTGACGCTTTTCCCCGTTTCTGTTCCCTGCAACAGGCATCATGTCCATTATGTTATTCCCTACGATGGGGATCAGTCAGTGGTGGACTCCTCGGAAAATTACTTTGTGACTGACAATGTAACCAAGCAAGAGATTGATCTGATGCTGGGACTTTTGCTGGGCTTTTGTATAAGCTGGTTTCTGGTGTGGATGGATGGGGTTCTCCACTACGCGGTGCGAGCCTGGAGGACTAGCCGACGGTATGGTAAGTGCAGCCTCCTGGGCTCCCTTCCCTTTCCTCCATCCCTTACCCTGCCCTCTGGGGCTGGTGGAGAGGGAGGAGGTCAACAGTCTGGCAGTCTGCTCCGTGTGGATTTGGCAGGGCCCTGAGCTGCCCCAGCCCAGCGGCGGGGGGGGGGGCGGGGCCCTGACCTGCCCCAGCCCAGCGGCGGTTGCTGCCCCTGAGGGCTCTGCTCTGCAGGGCGTGGAGCCTCTGCTGGTGCAAAGGGAGGGGCTGGTGGAAAGCAACCCGTGGGCAGGCTGGCAGATGGTGGCTGTGTGGCTGCACATGTGGGCAGAATATTTTGAGGCCAGACAAAACTTCCCTGAAATCTGGATTTTTCTGGGCGTATGATTTGCAGCCAGGCACATGCTTCTGGAGTGCAGGCTCTTGTTTGTAGGCACTCGTGACAATGTGCTGGCAACGACAGACTTGTGTGTCAGGGATGCACTGGCTGAGGTTCCCCCATCCCCATTGCTGCTCCAGGTGTGTCTCTTATTTCTTCAGAAGTGGCATCAGCCCCACAGGGGAAAGTGTTAGCCATACTAGTTAGTCTTTGGACCAGCCAGCATCCTGAACTAACATCCTGAGAATGACCAACAGATGCTACTTCAGAGGCCCTCTCTGCCTCTGTCTGGTCTCTCTGCATGGACATCTCATGGGCTTTAATTGTTGGAGGGGAAAAGAAAAAGATAGAAAAAAAATACTAAAATAGTGACTGGCTTTGAATTCCTACAAATCTCAGCCCCTCTAACCCTGACTGATGGTGTGTGTTAAATTACAACTCAGAGGAAAAGGAGAGTGAGCAATAGAAAGATTTATCTGTAAATCTGTAAGAAATTCTAATTAGGGAAGTAGACTGTCTCTTTCTAAAAGCTCAGATCAAAATGATATTAATTTCTCATTAGTCTTCCCAAAGCCCTGGCAGCCTGCTCGAGCCGTTGCTGAACCAGGCATCTCCTGAGGCTCTGTTGCTGTGTTTCCCAAGCACAAGGCTAATTGCCAGAGTTTCCAGTGAGATGTGAGGGACAGAGCCAGCCCTGAGGCCGTGACTCCTGGTTTGGATCAGCCTACCTGTGGCTGGGGGCTCCTGAAGGCAGCAGGGCTCCGTGGGTGAGCTGCTGGAGGGACCAGGGCAATGTTGTGCTTCAGAGCTGGTCCCTCTCGTTGTGGCAGTGAGCTGCAGACGTGGTCTCACCCTCTAACCTCCCTTCTTGTGAATGGATGCTGCAGCCATTTTTAGTTTTAGTAATTGAGGCTAATGCTAGTAATTAATTTAGTGGTTAAGCTGAACAATCTTTTCCCTTTCATTCTTTTCTGCCCCTCTGGATGGGTATTCTAAGCCTTTGAGGAGGGCTTGGCCAACATACACTCTGCAGATAAATCTTTTCAAAGGATGAGTGCAGTGTTCCTTTGCACCCAGCATTTTTTTCCCCTTAGCAACCCCCCTGGCCGTGCCCCTCTCATGATGCAGAAGGCTGAGGAGCGGGGAGTTCAGAGCATGATAATGAACGCTGAGCTTTTTGGTGTTTCCTGTTCATTCAGATCTCCCATGCAAATCCAGTCATCCTAAGGGCAATAAGAAGAAGGGACACTATTTATTTCCTTGTTGAACAAGTGCCCAAGCTAAAATTTCCTTCCAAAGAGACTGTGTCTGTGTCTGTGAGAGACAGAGGCAGGGGTTCTACAGAACATGGGACTGGTACAGAACGTAGAGCCCTCCCTGAAACACATGAGTACCACTTAGCCATGACTCAATGTCACATTGTGGCCTGATCAGCTTAAATTTTGGTCTGTTAGAATAACCTATAGCTCCTTCCTGACAGAAGAGATTTCTTAAAATAGAAAAATATTCTATAAACACTCAGACATCAGCTTGTGCTTCCTAGGAGCTGCAGTGCTGGTCAGAGCAGTCACAGACCGCCTCAGCCTAGTGCAGTCATCTGACTTTATGCAATCTATTGTCTGGGACTTCCAGATTCTCCTTTCTGGGGTAGAGCTGTGTGTGTGTTTCTGGGTGGAATCCCCCAAAGCTCTCATGAAAGTGGTTGGCAGCTGAACCACTGCTACAGGGAAAGGTTCACAGGCTGGGAGCTGAAGCACTGGCTAACAGAACGATGCTGTCCAGCCTGCTCTGGCTGCAGGGGAGGAAGAGGCTCAGGCCAGTGGTGCATGAAATTGGCTGGTGTTTCAGCTGGCAGAAGAAAAGAGCCAGGACTGAACAGGGGTGATACGTGTGTGGCAGCACCGTGCTGCTGCTGCCCTGGCAGCCTGGTCCCCAGAGCAGCTCCCTGCTGGCTCCAGAGATGAGCAGAGATCCCTGTGAGGTTACTGCCCCTGCTGAATCCTGCCCGGGCCGAGCCCAGCGTCTGGAGAGTGAGGCACAAAGGTGGCTGCAGGATAGGGCTCACCACAAGGAGCTGGCTCCTACCAGGAGCAGAAAGCTGGAGTCTGCCCCTTCTGACTCCCAGCCTCGTGGTGGTGATGGGCTGGTGGAGCCTGTCTGCACCTCTCTTGAGACAAGGTGTTCTGTGGTGGGCACAGCCAAGGTGTGTTCTGCTCACGGGCTTGTCTGAGGGCCTGGGCTGGCCACAGTCTGGGAGAGGTGTGGGCAGTGCTGGGGCTGCAGCCAAGACATCAAGTCAGGCTGGGCTGAAGAGAAGCCTCAAGGGTGGTCTTGCCAAGTGTCTGATTTCTGTGGGGCAGGTCAGGAACAGGGCTCAGCAAGGCAGAACATGGGTCTCCCCGTTCCTGTGATATCTCATCTCCCCTCTCCTTTCTGCCTTCCAGACAACTCCTGGTCTTGGATTCCAAAATTTTGTAACCTAAAGGAGTTCAGAAAACGTCACCACAGGCAGTACGAGGAGGCGACTGGGAACATGGTGCACATCAAACAGAAGCTGTACCATAACGGGCACCCCAGCCCACGGCACCTCTGAGGAACACCCGCCCCTCCAGAGACTGCAGAGAGGTTTTAAAAAGGACTTTGCTCCTCTTCCAGGGGAACAGCTCCTGGTTTGCTCCTCCATGGAAGCCAGCCGAGGACACGGTTTTACTGACCCATCCTGTGTGTCCCTGGGGCACACCACGATGCACAACTAAGCCAGTCCTGGATGCTACGCAGCCAAGACATTGCACTGTGTTCCACATTTTATTGTCAGACTTGTGTATATATGTAAAAAGCAGACAAACAAAAACAAACAAAAAAAAAAAAAAGAGAAAAGAGATTTGCATTATACTTTCAACCCCCCTTTTTTTTCCTGGCATTCCCAGCTGTCCTGCACATCCAGCTGCCCTGCGGGGAGTGTTGGCCAAGGGTATGGAGGTGGCACAACAAGAAGAAGATGCAGAGTTTCTCCTCCAAGAGCTCAAGTGCCCCTTTCTTTGGTCCTTTGGCTTGGTTTTGCTCTGCTCTGTTCCTTCCGTTGCTAGAATGGCCTGGCTGGCCACAGGTTTGGATGGGGACTGCTGCCAGCTGGTTGCGAAGGTGCAGTGTCCCTTTTGCTTTCCTCGGTGGTTTGGGGAGTTGCTGTGGGGGAAGGGAGCCCTGGGAATGTAGAACTGAATTGTTGTTTGCATTGCTGTACACTGAAACCTGCCTTAAGCCACCCCAGAAATCTTAGTACCAGGGCGAGCGTACTCCGAGGTGTCAGCCCCGTTGAGAGGGCTGGTGCTGCCTGGTTCACACCACTTTTGTACTGGTGGTACTGGTGGTACTGGTGTCAGAGCTGCTCTCCTCCAGCAGTGCTAGAGAGGAGTTGCTCCTGGCACCAGGGGAGGAGCGCTTCGAGTGGAGCGGTGTCAGATCTGACCTGCACCCTGATCATCCCCCTCTGCTGCACAAACATCACCCACCCCCGGCCTGGGAGGGAGGGAGCTGCCCCCCAATTTGGAGAGGGGGAGCCTGAGGCCCTGCTGGATGCCACCCGAGGAAGAGTGACACTGCAGAGGGAGGGTCCCGCTGGCAGTCCCACCTTCCTGCACATGGACAGCCCCTCTTGTCTTGTGTTACTGCCCCAACCTGAACAGCCCTGCAGCAGCAGCCTGGGCTTGGCTTGAGGAGCACAGAGAGACGTGAGCCTGGAGCCAAGCTCACCCACAAACGTCCCAGCCATGGTTGAATCAAAGTATGAGGATGCTCTGACCCGGATTTGCCTTTGCTTCCCCTGGTCACAGCTTAGGTGTGGGTTTGAAGGGAGCTGTCAAGGGTCTGAAACCAACCTCCCCACCCAGAGACCTCCTTCACATCCAGCCAGAGGTGCCCAAAGGGGCTGATGAAGCCTGTGTGCCCCCAGACAGGGCAGTGGCAGCTGGTTCCTGTGGCAGCCACGTTCTGCTGGGGGGCAAAAAAAAGGGAGCCACTGAGCCCAGTGGCCCTGCTGGCTGCAGTGGGAAGAGAGGTTTTTGTTGGGAGGATAAGGGAGGGAGATGCTAGCCTGAAGAATTTAAGGTGGGAGCCCCGAATCCCAATTGTTTCTCCTTCATTCATCATTTTGTATTGAGTGGGTTTGTGCTTCAATGGGGAAAACCTCCAGAACAAAAGGCTGATGAGGATTGTCAGAAAGTGCTGTTTTCTTCTGTGGATCCCCTGACTCTGTCAGTGGCCTTCTGTTGTCTGATGGCAATGACTGAAAAGGGAAAAGGACACCATGACTCCCTCCTTTTTTCCTCCCTGCTTCAGCTTCTGTGTCTTTGGTTTGGGTTTGGTTTTTTTTTCATTGTTTCCTATGCCCAGGATCAGTTCAGTACTTTACAAGCCCCAGAGCTGGCTGGGAGCTGGCAGTGCCCATTTCCCTGCCAGTCCTTCCTTGCCACTGCCTCCTGCCTCTTGCCTCGGAGCCCCAGCTTCTGTCTGGGCCTAAATAATTGCCTGGTCTCTACTTACATCTGTCTGCTTGACTGTTCAGGACTTCCTATGGTTGGAATATCTGCAGCCACCTGTTAGTATCTAAAGAATGACCTCTCCTTGAGCAGCTCCTTTCCAGGACCCAGGGCTTTGCAGCCTCCCTCCCTGTGTGAGCTTGGTGCCTCTCACCACATGGGGGAAGATGCTCCCCTCCATGGAGCATTGGCCACCTGGGGCCAGAGGAGCCCTGCCCAGAGAGCTGCTCTGGTTGCCCCTGTGCAGTGCCCACCTGGCAGGGAACAGGCACTGGGTTATAAACCAGGTACATGCCATGGGTGTGGCTTCAGATGGGACAAGGTTTTGCAGGGGAGAAAACTCCATCAGGATACAGGCAAATACCGAGTGTCTGGGACTAGTTATGGGGGGAAAAAAAGCACTTTAAATAATCTTTCCACTTGGAGTCACTGACAAGAAAGACTTGGGGCAGTGACCTAAACTCAGACTGAATTGGATGTCTGGTTCTGCCCTGCTCTAGCAACTGACCTTAGTTGAAATCTCATTAAATATGAAACTCACAACTGGAGAGAGTGATGTGGTGGCTCACACGGGCTAGCTCTGATGCACACCAGAAGGTCAAGAGAGTGTGAAGCTCTGGATGAGGGGAGAAAACTCCTACATGGCACCTATTCCCATTGTTTAAGAGCAGACTTTTCCTTTAATCTGCAGCTGTTACCTTGTGAGCCTATTTCTTGTTTACACTTAGTAAAAAAGACAACAAAAAATACTCTCCGTGCAATTAAATTTCCTGGGAGTAAGTCACTGGTCTTAAACCCAAGGAAAAGCATGGAGCAAGGTTTGTCCCAGCACACTCTGAAGCAATGGGATTAATCCTGGGGAGCTGATCAGGCCTTTGATTCTCATCCTTAACAAATAAGGGGCAAGGTTCCTTCCCACGCAGTCGGGTCAGGTCCTATTCCTGACCCAGGAGATCTGGGGCATCTTCTGTGCAGGGCTGATTCCAACCAGGCAGCTTGAGACAGGAGCTCAGGTTCCTGGTGTGTGGGGCTTTATTCCTCTGGGTCTGGGAAGCTCCTGCAGCTCTCCCCGAGGTGAGGATCTGCCTCTTGCTGGGGCAGGATAACCTCACACACCACCCAGGCTGTGAGAACTCCCTGCACAGGAGCAGCCCAAGGTCTGTGCCCCATGTAGCCCATGGTGGTGTGCAGAAGACAACTGTTGGTCCCCACAGCCCCGTGTCTGCCAGGGCTGCTCCTTGGGGAAGGAGCTGAGGAGCCCCCAGGGAGGCAGCAGGTCGAGGGGGATTGTGCTCGGAGCAGTGCAGAGCCTGGTGCCAGCACTGGGCTCCCACACAGCACCCACCTTGTGTCCCTGGTCCCTGTCCCAGCCCTCTGCTGGCTCTGCCCGAGGTGTGAGCCTCACCAAGAGCCTCTGACCGTGCTCTGCTGTCCCCTGTCCCAGCCAGGCTGCTGCTCCCTCCAGTCTGTCCCTGCCCTGTCTCCTCTGCGTGTCTGTCTCGCTTCTGTCTGCTCGTGGGAGTGTTTGCTCCTGGTTTCATTGTCTGAGATGTGCTAGTGGTGACTTCTTTGTCGTTCTCTTGCCTCTGATCCAGTCCTCACACACACACACACAAACAAAGAAGCCCCACAGACTGAAACAACAAAACAACCCCCAAACTCAGCAGCGACTCCAAACAGGTTTCCCTGGGGAGAAGGTGACATCAGGGAGCTGACCCAAGGTCAGGGCTGGGCCAGTGCTGGCCAGAACCTGGGGAAGAGAAAACAGGGGCTGCCAAGCTCACAGCTGGCAGCTCTGCAGGGACAAAGGAGTGGGAAGTGTGTGCCATGGCTTAGCACTCATCTGCCAGATGCTTTGAAGGAGGTTTCTGCAGAACTAGATAGTGGGGAGGAATTTTGTGCCGCCTCAGGAGGGGCTATTTTTAGAGCAGAGACAGAGCTTAAAACTCTACGTGCCAGTTCTCCAGAGCTGGGATTGGTGCTGGAAACGTTCTCCCCCATGTTTGGTGTGAGGAGCCCAGGTCTGGCTGCCTGCACAGCAAATGGGTGCGTGCTGGTGGTTGGGCTCTGTTCAAAGGAGAGGTGTGGGAAGGCATGGAGGGAAAGGCAGAGGGTTGTGGAATCCGTTGTATCAACCCATAGCTCCTTTTTAAATTCAAGCAGCCACCTGCCAGCACTGCTGAATAAGCCCCTGACCCCTCAGTGGGGGCCCTGAAGGCAGCCTAAGCCTAAACCCATCCATGCCAGCCTTCTTTCCATGCTTAACACCTTCTTTCTTCTCAAGAGAACACATTCTTTTGATGCTCATGTGGGCCTGTGAGACTGGTTCTCTCCTCCACTTTGCTTCCTGCCTGGCACATGTCGTTCCACCACATTCAGTGGCCCACAGCAGGGTGGGTGTGGGGGAGGGAGATGTGACAGGAGGCCACTTTCCCCACGGGTGCATTGCCAGGGCAGTGCTGTGCCAGGGAGGGGCTGGCAGAGCTGCATAGGGCTTCAGGAGAGGGGAGTAAGAGCCCAAAGGCACCACACGTGGGATTGCAGGTGTGGCCCAGAGCAGACACAGGTGCCATGTGTCCCTTCTTTAGCCTGCTGCTCTGACACAACGAGAAGGTCCCTTCCCTTTTGAGGAACAGTTTGGGAAGGTGTCTCCTGTGATACCATCCATCCATCCATCCATCATCCATCCATCATCCATCCATTCATCCATCCATCATCCATCCATTCATCCATCCATCCATCCATCCATCCATCCATCCATCCATCATCCATCCATTCATCCATCCATCA